AACCCCAGCAGAGTTCCGCCCGTCACCTAGCAACCCCAGCAGAGTTCCACCCGTCACCTAGCAACCCCAGCAGAGTTCCAGCACTTCTAGAAAGCTGGTTTTGACCAGCTCACTAGAAACCACTTCTCTACTTCTGCTTTTCAAAGATATACCGCTGCATCTGTTTGCAGCCATGGTCACACGACAGTGTAAACATTGAGTTGGGGGGCGTGGCCAGCAGCAGCTTATTTTGATTCAAAGTGACAAGACTCCCTAAAACAGTTCAAAACAGTAGGAACAGAACAGAATAAATCTCATTATATAAGAATAATTTTTTGCAAAAATGTAATGAATATGTTTTGTATCGCCCATAAACCTATCCAAATCTGTTCCAGGACGCATAATAGACCTCCTTTAACTTAACAGCTTAGTCTGTTTTGATAGAAATTTTTATAGTAACATTGATTTTGTTTTCTCAAAAATGTGATACATTTTTACATTACTAGCTTTATTACATCCCATGTGAGTTGCTCCCAATTTCCCAGTGGGAAATCTGACTTCCGAGGGCGTTCCAGTTGATTTTCTGAATGGGACGTCGGAATTTCCCAGTTCTCAGTCAGTAAAACTGGAAAGCAGCATTAGCATTAGCAAGCTCCACTAGTGTGACGCAATTTCCTCAATAATGAAAGAAACTTGCAAGCATCGTCTGGGGGAGCCTTTGTTTTTCTGCTGTGATTCATTCACAGCATTCAAAGGAAGCACGTTGTTAATTAAGACACGTTTGTATTTTTGCAGCATCTTCTTCAGAAGATTTGTTTCTCTGTAGTGTAGAAAAGAGAAACTCGTCCTGGTTGCCCTTTAGCCCCGGCGGGGGCCTCGGGCCGAGGAAGGGTCACGATGTCATTAGCGATGTTTAATCAGCGGCCTGTGGGGCCGGCGGCACTGTTTACCTGATACCTCCGTGTTAATTAGAGCGGCTGAGCAGCTCAGAGGGAGGCCGTCCTTCAACCCGACAGCGCAGCGCGGCTCCGGGCCAAACGCTCGCTGCTGCCTCACTTTTACAAAAACACTGAAACTGATTTTACAAAGCTAAACAACATCAGAATATATCTGAGAAGGTAAGGATTTCTAGAGCAAATATCTTAGTACAGTTTAAATAAAAACAAAACTAACTTACAAGTACCTTTTCAGTAAGATATAGAGGCTTGTTTTACGTAAAAGCCTTGTTCCATTGGCAGATTCTTTAGCTATTTAGCTATGCAAGTGGAACTAATACTTTTTCATCAGTATTAATGAATTATTGACTTAAAAAGCTCCTATTCTTGCTGAAAGTAAGGCAGTATACTTGAAATAAGACAAAACTATTTGAAGCTACATAAAAATACTTGGTAATACTTTGTGTTTTTGCAGTGAGGTAACAGAAGCAGTCGGCTCTCTGACTGAACAGCAGCAGGTTCCAGAGCCGACCTCTGCTCATCTCCAGTTACCCTGCTGGTTCCACTCTGACAGCAGTGGGAGGCCGTCGCAGCCAATGAGCAGCCGGCTCTGCGTCCCAGACGCCAGTGATTATGGGGTATCGTCATGGGAACGGTTTGGGGGCAGCATGTTTGGAAGCTGGCGGGTAAAGATGCTCAGCAAACATTTACACTGCAGGGTTCACTCACACACACACACACACACACACACACACATTACCTCTTTCTATCTTTACAAGGACTCTGCATTGACTTCCATTCATTCATTCATTTCAATTACCTTTACTTTACTCTATATCTAACAATTAACATTAACATCTCTCACCATAAACCTAAACTCACTTTACGTCTTAGTCCTAAACCTAACCAAAGGCTGTCCAAAGTGAGGCGCGGGGGCCATTTGTGGTCCTTGAATTTATTTTGTTTGGCCCCAAACCACAGAGTGGTACTAATTTGGACCCCCAAAACACTTTCTGTAAATTTTTTAGAATGAGCTTTTATGTGGCAAGTTTACATCATTTTAAATGGAAAATGTTAAGAACGCCAAGAATTTGTCTTTATTTAGCTTTCTCTTTTGTCTTTTACTTTGATTTCATAATCAATTGTGGCACAAACATGTTTTCACTCAAAAACAGACTTTCATGTATGCTAAGATATTTGCATCTTAGTATACAAATACGGAGATAAAGTATCATCTCAGTAACACAGAAAACCGATTGTTTTTACGTGGGTTTTTTTGTCTTCAGGAGATTGTTGGATGTACCATAAAATACCCTAAATAGATAATTTAAATGAGTACAAACACACACAAACACACACCGTTTCTCTTAAACTCACCATGACAGACGAAGCAGTGACGCTCCTCGTATCGTCCTCTTCACTCTGCAAAACATCCACCCCACCAAAACATTTAATCTGATTCATGGCTTTTTTAAAAACACATTGACATTTTACATGTTGACAGTTTGGTTTTGAACTGGTTTTTGACATTTTACTGTCAAATACACTAAACCAGAGCCGACTCTGTGTTATACGACCTATGAGTGATCAACACAGCTCAGTTAATATTGGCTTTATTTCATCCATGAATGAACGCATGTGCATTACACATCTGAGATTATTATAATAATTATAATTATAATAGTGGGAAAGATTACAACACAACATAAAACATCAGATGGCTGTTGAAGATGTACAACACTTGGAATAACAAACTCATTTAAAAATAAGTTTTTAGATGAGGATAAAAATGTCAAACAAGATTCATTTGTCCTTCAAGTGATACTGACCTTCTAATCGAACATCTATAAACCAGAAATGTGTGATTACTCGTGTGCTTGGGCGTCCCCTGCTGGTGCAGAGGCCTTTGAGCTGACAACGTTGCAGAATACCAGAATAGAATTTAAATGTTAAAAATGTTTTTTAATGTTATGCATTTTTCTTAAAAATATTTTCCTGATTTTCTCCAAACCATTAGCAAAACATTGACGACAAAATAAAACCAACAGAAATTGAATAAGTCTTACATTTTTTAGACTAAACATTAGTCTAGTGATGTTTAGTCACTGTACAAACTGTACAGGTTTTTTGTACAGTTTGTACAAAAAACCTGTACAAACTGTTTTTTGTACAGGTTTAAAATTTCGAGTGGGAACTGGTTTTGGAGCAGTTTATGGTTTGGTTTGTTGTTGTGTTTGTTTTATGGAGTTTACTACCAATTTCTGATATTGTAAGTAAACTTTTGGACATAATTGAAACTGTTTTGAACTCAAATTTACCTCCGTGCTGTTTTTGGGAAATGTGAGTAATTTTGGTCCGATTTTATATTTCTGCTTGAGGCAAATTTTAAAAGTTGGTGATGAAGTTTTATGGATGTTTGGTACTGGTTTGTAACATGAGTGCTGGTGTTCTTGGTTTTCATTTTGAACCAGGATTAGTTTTGGACTGGTTTTAATTTTTGGTCTGTCATCTTGAGTTCACCATGGCAACAGTTTTTTTTTTACATCTGGATTTAGACTAGTTTCCAGTCTAGATTAGAATTGGTTTCAGTTATAAATTTAGTTACACATTTTAGGCAGGGTCTGTCTAGTTTTAGATGATTTTATCAGTTTTATTGGTTTAATTGTTCTTTTGTTATTTTCAGTTGTTGATTTGATCCAGAATAACTCAATGATGCAGCAATCCAGACTCATACTCGCTGTTCTTCTCATTGCTTGGGTTGGTTTTAAGATATGAGCTGAAGCCTCTTATTTTTGGTGTTGATGAAGAATCCCTAAGAGGATTGTTGGGGGGCGAGACGGGGGAAACAATCGCCTCTTTCCTGCAGCGTCCCGGTGTTATGATGGACGTTAACTGTGTTGGTGTGTTGCTGAGGAGGGAGTCCCAGGAGACGAGGAGGAGGAGGAGGAAAGCTGCTCTTCTTCTACCTCATTAGTAATCCAACACAGTCTCAGTGAGGTGTCTCACTAAATGATCGTGGCTTGTTTCAGAGGTGAACTAAAGGTAAGAAAACAAGAATTTGGACGTCCACAGTTGCTGATTTAATGCTTGCTGAGAAGGTTTCAGTTTGTCAGTTTATATCTGAAGAAAGAGATTATTTCTGTGGTTTTATTTGGGGAAAAAGTCCACAGAAGTAGGAATTAAATCTTCAAAAACTAATAATTCAATTAATAGATAAGATCGATTTAGCCCTAGCCTAAATCGAACTCCAGTTTGTTTGTTTAGAGAGTGCGGTTTGTTTGAGTTGGTGTGAATATGCAATTCAACTCTAATGCTGACCAAAAAAGCGAACTCTGGCCTGCAATACTCAGCCTTGGTTCAATTAAAGTGAACTCTAGCTCAGTTTGAAAGCATGAGAACGCCAAGTAGATCTGAGGTCGTTTCAAAAGCAGGAAGCGAATTATAGTGCATGGCATTCTGGGTAAACAAAACAAATGTTCAAGTCTAGCGCTGCAGGAGAAATGATTCGTGGTCTTTTACTAGAGACAAAAAACAAATTCTACAACCGCTAAAATATGACGGCGTCCCATTTTTGTTACATTTTGATTTTGAAAAAGGAGGAAGTTGCGCTCAGTGTCTCCTTCTGAAGTTTTTGTGTCGTTCTTGGTGCAGCGCCCCCACAGGTGAGGAGGGGAACAGGTTTATCAAAGGATTGGGATTGTTTGACACAGAGCAGTGTGAAAGTGAGCTATAGCAGCTGAAAATGTAACAAATGTTGCAAGGCTCGGTCCAATCTAACCGAGCCTTTAGGGTGTCCTATGGATGTTTTCACACCATTTTTCGTTCACTTTTTTTTTGGTCCGCATCAGAGTTTGATTGCAGATTCAGACCTCCCCGAACAAACTAGACTTCCTAGAAAAACCAAGTAGAGTTCAATTAAAGCGGACTAATCAGGGCTGGTGTGAACACACCCTAAATGTGCTTCTTCACACTCAGTAGAGTAAACTGTGTGCTGACAGCTGCTGTGGTTGGTGAGAGTTCCCTCACGAGACATGGCAGCTCCCGCAGATCTGACTCCATGTTAAATTCAGCTCCGTCAGTTCGGAGGAGACAGGAATCATCTCCAGTTTTTCCTCCGTTTTGCATAACAAAAGCTTTTCCCAGCCACTTCCACTCCTCCGTCTATTCATCCTGTCAAAACACAGCCGGCTGGTTTCTCCTCCCCCCTCCTCAGATCTTCTGTCAGACCCCCCCGCTGCCTCCTCTTCATCACCATCCAGGAGTGGCTCTCTTGTATGCCAATTGCCTGTCCTAATTGCTGGCGTTTACAAGGTGCTGCCGGGCGTGGAAGCCCTGCAGAGCGGGTAAAAGAGGCAAAGAGCAAAGGGGGGTAAAACCTGGGGGGTCGAGTTGCAAAATGATGGAGGAGACGCAACATTTAGAAGGGAGAGTTTTATCTGATGATGTTTCCATTTTAGGCTGACATGACCTTTAAAGTTTATTTTTTTCTTGTTCTCACTGAATAAAGACACCTGACTACACTGCAAAAACAAAAAATGTTACTAAGTATTTTGGTCTAGTTTCTAGTGCAAATATCTCAGACTAGAAATTAGACAAATTTAATTTACAAGTAACTTTTCAGCAAGAAGTAGTAACTTGTTTTGAGTCAATAATTCTTAATAGAAAGAACTATTTCCACCTGCAGACATTTTCACTTACAGCAAGACATTTTCCCCATTGAACTCGAACCTTTTAATGCTATAATCACTATATTGACTTTAAAAAAGCTCCTATATCCTGCTGGAAAGTTAGATGTGAGTTAGATTTGTCTTAGTTCAAGTGTAGACAAAACTAGACAAAAATACTGTTTTTGCAGTGTATGGCTTAAAAATAAAATCTCTGATTTCCATTTTCAGTCAGTTTTTTTTCTCGCTTTCTTTCCTAAAACAGAAATTACAAATGTCAGGAAATATTTTCAAAAAAAGGCTTTTATTTCTATCTCTCCTTCTGAGTTGTACGATTGGAGTATTACGACCAGGGCACAATTTCTTTTTTTAATTGTTGAATTACGATAATATATAAAATATAAATGTCTTTTTTCAGGTGTACTAAGACTGTTTTAAGTTGGGCTTTATGAAGCAAAAAAAATTTAGCAAATATGTTTCACATTCTTAGATATTTATTTTAACCTCTTATTTTATTTTTTTATGAAATGTAATTGCTTGTTTTATTTTTAGCCCTTTAAGATCTCAAGATTAAAAGGACATTACAAATAAAATGTATTATTTTTATTAAACATTTTAGATTTATATTTAATAAACCTTTCATTGGTTTTAAATATTTGAACTTATTTACTGCAGTTTGTTTGTTTTGATGCTTTCTATGAAAACTTCCACGTCTCTAAATGTAAGCACTCATAATTAACCTAAATAGCTAATAATTAGCGCTGAACTCGTTGATCCTTCCTGTTAGAAAGGCTTAATATCATCCTCCAACAACCTGAGTCCGCTCATCAAATCCCCAGACGGTATTCGATTCTGCACCGCCACCAGAGGCAGACTCATCCTGACGATGAGGAGAAGTTCGTTGCCGGACCTTCGTCATTAATTCACGTTTTTTAACAACTTGGAGGGTCTGGAACTGAGACGTTACTCCACAGTCCAGAGAGCCGGATCAAAACGTATTAAAGCCTCCGATGAAGTCCGCTCCACTGACACAGGACTAAGCTTTATGACTGGAGAGACTCCATAATCCCACAGAAGGTCGTTAGGAGCAGGGAAGGTGGAGTTTCACCCATCGTTTAGTGAAAATGAAGTTTGAGGAGGTTAAGTCAAACTTCTGAAACACAGATGTTGGCGCAGAGATCTGAAGGTATATTAGTAGTGATTGTATCATCTGAGGATCTAAAGGCTCTTCTTATGATGCACAGAGAAATGAGATGCAGATTTCTGGTCTTTGATTATTGTAAAGAATGAATAAAGAATGGAAAACTGATTAAAAAAATTAATGAGTGGAGAAACTATGGTATGTAGAAAAATTCTGACTTTTAAAGGGGATCTATTATGCAAAATTCACTTTTTGCATAATATATAATTCTATTTAGGTTTCTACTGCTTCTAAAAACAACCGCAGCACGTAAAAACAAAACACCTAGCTGGTTTTTTACAATAAGTTTATGCTTTTTGGTGTCTGGAAAGGAGCTGTTTCAAAAACCTCCCGATTGTTGAGTCACACTGCGCCATTACCTAGCAACCCCAGTCGAGTCCAGCCCATTTGGTCAACTGATTTTACCGCTCTAGTCGCTGTACAATGGCTACTAGAAAAGACAAGTGTTTTGTTGTTGACTTACCATCCAGAAATCACTTGCTGCATTCTTGTTGGTTGTGCAGGAGGCTCTACTTCAGCTTTTCAAAGATATCCAGTTGTATAATTGCACCTCCATTTGGAGCCATTTTCACATAGTAGCGTAAACATTAAGGTGAGGGGGTTTGGCCAACAGCAGTTTATTTGGATTTAAGGTGATAAGACGCCCTAAAACAGCTCAATCTGAATGGATCTCAAAATACATAGAAATGACTAGATTAAAATCTCATTATCTAAAAATGACTTTGTGCAAAAATAATATGTAATGAACTTGTTTTGTGTATCCCATAGACATATTCTAACCTGTTCAAGGAAGCATAGCTATGACCTATGATCGGTTAATACAGCAAGCATTTTTCACCAGAGAGTGGCCCACATCATATTTTTGGGAGTTAGCTGCATTTTTCTCTTTAGTTTGCAAACTGGATGTCTGTCTTTTAATGACATGAAACTCTTTTTACGTTTTGGATCTACAATGATTTAAATGTCCCTTTCATAACAAAAATCCAGACTTCTTTAAGTCTGTTTCCTCTTGTCCAATTAGAATTGTCTGCTGATGCTTGTCTAAAATATACAGGGCTGTAACTCCTTTTGACTTGATAATTTTAACCCATGTTTGGACACTGCTGCTTTATGGTGTTAAGACATCATTTCATGTATGTCAAACTGTTATATTTGGAGTATAAAGAAATGAGAAGTGACTCATTTCCCAGGTTTGTGCCTTTACTTCTCTTGCAGGCTTGTCTTCCTCTGTCTCTACCTCTCTTTCATTGTAGCTGAGTCCCTGCTGACAGTTTGAGCTGCTGATCTCCTCCTTGACCTCGGCAGGATCTTTAACTTTGCTTCTGTACTTCACAGAGAGCAGCAGGAACGCAGCTGTCTCCGTTCACGTCTGTTTCCTCAGTGATCAGAGAAGACAACTCCTCACATGTCAGTGTCTTCGAGCGAGGGAAAAAACAGCGGCATGTGTGGAGTTTTAACCTGAGACTGAGGCATGCTGGGAAGTGAAGGCGCCAAAAGAGTCGGAGGCCACAGAGCATGATCAAGCTGTTAACGCAGCAAAGAAATGCTCATGTGCTTTAAACTTTGAGAAGTCATATCCACAGGATTCAGCTGTCAGCTTTAAAAGCAGTAACTCAACTGACAGCCACATCTAAATGAAAAATCTGCAGAATGTAGCAGTTATTTTACACGATTAATCGCCAGAATAATTGATTAATCAATAGCAAATAATTATTAGTCGCAGCCCTAGACTGAAGCACACATGAAAATGAATTCAAGGATATTCAGACCTAAGCGATAAAGCTGCAGAAACAGAAACAATTTTTATTCAATTAATCGTCAGAATAATTTATAGATTAATCAATTACTAAAATAAGTGTTAGTTGCAGAACTGCTCTAAGCTTTCTACTTTACCTTTATGTATTAAAGCTGCAGTGTGCAACTTTTATATAAAATGTTTTTTTACATATTTGTTAAAATTGTCACCATGTCATGAATGATCGTGACATTCCACCTCCACCTTCCACCTGAGCCGTATGAAGAGATGCATCGCTCCCGACCAAAAACAACCAATCACAGACAGAAGGCAGGTCTTAGTGCTGTCAATTAACCTCATGTACTTGCCATAAAATGTGCTAATAAGTTACCATTACAAGGAAAACTGTTTATCTGCCATCATCGGTGGCTACGCTAACTAGCCTAGCATTCACAACATGATCTGCTAACTGGGAAAAACTGTAGTGTAGCAGGAAACAAGGAAGGGAGAGGAGGATGGGGATTAGCAAAATTGTGATTGACAGCGCAAAGAACTGACTATGGGCTCTGATTGGTTGTTTCTATTTAGCACTGGGAGCACTGGGAGAAGGCAGAGGAGTTCAAATTTATTCCCAGATTATCTGTCTCACACCATGACATGGTGACAAAAATGTTTTATAAAAGTTAAATCCTGCAGTTTTAATGCCACTTATTATTCTGCACAAGAACATTTATGAACACAACTACATATCGTAAATAATAACTATTGTTTCCCAGGATAATCCCTGTCCATGCGGCTCTATAAACTCTTGAAGATCAGGAAAAGCTCAAACTTCGGTCCTACAGCAGGACTCTGAGCATCACACGAAGCTGGAACCAGTAAAACCAGCAGCTCCCTTCCAGTGATGAAATCTCTCCCCTCATTATCATATTAATTGAGATTTCCCAACAATCGTGTTTTGCTAATGGACGGATTGAGAGGCGGCGAGTGTGAGTGAGGCAGTTTTAATGAGACTGATACCCGCAGCGCTGCAGCGTCTTATCTGTCGATGGGGAGCCCGGCCTTATGTAATCTGCCCTCTCATTCGCCGCCGCCACCGCTTGATTGTTTCTGATGAAAAAGCCATTTTGGAGCCGCCGCTGCCTTCTGTTCTGCAGCGTGGCCCTCGTTGTCGGAGACGTCGGGGGGTCACGGGGGTCAAAAGAATTATGATTATAGTACAGCATCGTTCGGCGGGCTCGTCGTTGCCCCGGTGACCCCTCCGCGGAGACGGTGATGAAAGTGGAACATGAGCGTTTTGTTGAGAGGGACGGCAGCCGTTGTTCAGTTCAGAGGTTCGTCTCGACACGGTGGGGCCCGTTTAGGTCTCTGATACCCGGCAGGATGAGATTCACATGTAAATCAGCTGGAGATTCAAACTCAGCCTGAACTCAACACACGTTTGCTGACACCAACAGAGAGGGTCGTTCACAAACCAATAAATAAAACTGAGGGGAAAATTACAGGACTATAATGGAGATGATTTTTTTTTTTTATTTGGCCTCGATCTGTAAGTTTAACCCGTAAACATCTGAGGCGTCTGATCAGACATGAATAAGGTTGCATCTCCCTGGAGATTGTGATGCAGAATAAACATAATGGATAGTTATGTTTTGTACATTAACTATCCAAAAGCTGTTTTGTACATTAATGGCATATTTTCCAGCATCACATATCGTCTAAAAACTAACAGTGTGATTTTGCTTCCTTCTCATTGGTTCAGAAGGTGGAGTTACTAATTGTAAATGGTGGTGCGATATTTGATTCAATGTTGATTTAAATACTTTCATACTGATCTAGTAATAAGTAGTAGGTACATAATTCATTGGGAAACCTATTAATAATTTTATGTATAACTTATTTTTAAAATGTTTCCTGCCCATATGAACAGCCATGGTGGTATGCGTTCATATTTTGATCAGCAAAATATCTGAAAATAAAAGCATGATAACACTTATGGAGTACAAATTTAAAACATGATAGTATTGTATTAAAACTGATGCAAAGTGTATATCAGTAATTCTCTTTTTCTTGTGAAAAAAAGACAATATGAATAATTTTCGCATAATTTCTAAGTATATTCACACAATATTGCTATTCTGACCCACATTTCTCACCAGTAGGTGATGGTAATGTTCATGAAATTGATGATTGCCAATGGCCAATAAAATCAAGAAGAAGACAACTTCAAATCTGAGTCCAAGCAGGATTTCACGCAGCATCAATAAATCACCATTTTTACCATGCATCTAGATAAAAAGTCACACAAAAAACACTGGTTTATGGCTCAAGACTCCATGAAAAATGGCAAAAAATTTTAGCTCTCTTGAAAATGTTGTTCACCATGGTGCGAACCCACTAGCCAGGGGATCTAATCGATTTACAGGGTTTTCCATCTCGATTTGGAAGTTACAGCTGGACATATCATGGCAATGTTAGACACACACTCTCATCTGACCATGTGTCTGATGCCGTTTTACTCCACTCACCCTCCTGGAGATGGTCACCTCGCTGGTCACAGAGCAGGAGTCGCTCCTTGGAGACAGTAGGTCACATAAGTTTGCGTCTCCTCCATCGCCACTGGAGATCAGATTGCTCACACTAATGGCTGCAGGGATCACCAGGTCCGGAGGCCTCGCTGCTCTCTGAGGAACCGCTGCTGACCGACGGGCCTGGAGAAATGAGGCAGATTCATGTCAGAGCTACACTGTAAAATGATTAACTGGTTCTGATTAACATCAATGTGTAGAATGAGGGTTTGTTTCCACTAAAGGCGTCTTTTCAAGGAACCAGTGGAATTTTCTGATGCAGTTTTAAATCCAAAGCTGGAGTTTTTTCTAGAGTGTGTAAGGTGGACCAACCTAACCCAACCTCAGACTCAGTCAGACAAACATGTTAACAATCAGAGATGGGCAGAGTACCCAAAAATTTTACTCAAGTAAGAGTAGCACTACGTCAACATATATTTCCTCAGTTACAAGTAAAGAATACCCATCCAAGAAATTACTCAATAAAGAGTGAAGAAACGTATTCAGTAAGAAGGGGACTGATGTACTGAGTAACAGATCAAAACATAAATCATTTAATATTTAAAAATGACCAAAATACAAAATTATGTGGAAATGTTTGTATTTTAAAGACCATAGTTCATATAAATAACGTAATTGCAAATAAATAAATAAAAAAATCTAAATCTATTTATTTTTATAAAAAACTTAAGAAACTAACAAAACCTGCAGGTCTGGTGAAATTTTGGTTAAATCAAGTTCAGTAACTCAGTAGGAAAAGTATTTGTAAATTTTACTCAAGAGTAACAATACTTTGTAATACTATTACTCAAGTAAAAGTAAAAAGTACGGTGTAGTAGAAATACTACTAAAAGTAATTTTCTCAAAGTTACTCATATAAATGTAACTAGTTACTATCCACCTCCACAAAATATTGTGCAGCTTTGGCATTGCTAGCTTCATAATCAGTCTCAAACAGTCCTTTATTTTCCTTTGACTTTAACTATTACAGATTTTGAATCACTAAAGTCTGAATACAGTCATCTGGAGGAATGACAGAGTGCATTATTTACAAAAACATAACATTTTAGGTGTTGAACGTCGGAGACAGAACCTTCATAGTCTGTTCTCAAGTAGCTTTAACATTAGCATATTAGCATAATAGCGTGTTTGCTGCTCCACAAAATGTCCGCGTGCCTGTCACAGAACGCGGCGCTCACCATCACACGAGGCCGGGGCCTGTTCGGTCCAATTAGGCCTCAGTCGGCAGCAAACGCCCGCAAATGCAGTTTAACATCTCACAAAGCTGTGATTGTCCTTTAACTGGGGAGGACGGCAGTCCCACGGGGGCTAATTATCACACAAACTCCCACTCAGGTCCACAGAGTCTCACCGGGAAGGCCCGAAAAAAGCAACATCGCACCTATCATTCTGATTCCAGCTAATTACTTCCATGTTTACATGGCGGCTACTGTAAACAGTAATGACACTACTTTGCATTTCAAATAAGACTTTTAATCCGGAATCGGTGCAGCTTCAGCCGCTTCCGAAACGACGTTCTGGTATGTGAGGAAATTCTACTTAACGGCATAAATAGTGGGGCTACTATTAATATCGGACATCCATGGGAAAAACAAGTTTATCTCTGTGTGCTTAATAAACTGAACCTTAACTCGATTTGATTTGAACCAGAAATCAGGAAAAACAAGTTTGCCATTCAGTTGCTTCAACTAACAATTATTTTAGTAATCGATTTTGATTTAAAAAATGGTACATAATGCAGATTTGTCATGTTACCCTTTCATATTAT